GGTTAATGGATTTTAAGACACTGTCTGTTAGCTTGAAGACTGCCTCTTCAGTGGATATACCTTTCCTAACGCCGTATTGCTCTGGGACCAATATGTTGTTACAATGCATATGCTGATTTATCCTACTATACATGACTTTCTCAAGTACCTTAGAGAAAGTAGATAATAATGAAATCGGCCTATAGTTCGTCATACTATACTTATCTCCTTTTTTGAATAGTGGCTTTACTATTGAAATTTTTTGGCAGTCTGGGAAAATGCCTGTGTATAATGAGTGATTACAAATGTGAGCTAAAGGGCAACTAATTAAATCAGAACAAGCTTTCAGAACTTTATTTGTTACTTCATCAAAACCTGACGAGTTTTTTGGTTTCATGATGCGTATTATATTCTGTATCTCAGCTTCATTTGTTGGGATGATTTTGATACCAGGGAAATTTGTAGGAAATGCAACTTTCAAAATTGACAGAGCATTTTCATTTCCCATCTGATGTAAATTTAAGTTCTCAGAAATTGTTAGGAAAAATTTATTGAAGTCGTTGGCAAATGTTTCTAGGTCCTTTCCTATCTCAGATTTAGCCAGAAGAGACGGTATCTCTTCAGATAAATGTAGTCTTTCTGACTAACATAAGGTTCTATGGAATGCTATATGTATGTATGTATGTAATTTGGGATTGAATACTGAAATTTATTTTGTCAGATGAAATGCAGCTTAGGTTTGTGATATTATTCTGCATACATAATTATTGGGATGTCATGGGGTTTCAAATATTCAGTGCTTCATTATGTAAGTTTGCTTTTTGCAGAACTTGTTTTATGCAAAGGTGTGTTTGAGTTGGCCCAAAGAGTTTGCATGGAGCATTCAGGTCTTATTACTGAATGGTTCAAATGACGAGTTTTTTGTTCCATGTATTACCAGAACCTTTAGTATTCGAAAATTTATACTGTTTCTTTTTTCTTTTTCTGCAGTTAGTGTATGAGTTTTTCCTACGGTTCTTGGAATCCTCAGACTTTCAGCCCACCATTGGCAAGAAAGTAATAGACCAAAAATTTGTGCTACAGGTATGTAACTGTTTGCTAGTATATTCTTCTGCCATCTGAGAAATATCTGTTCATATATCAAGTGAAAGAGAGTCTTGATTGTGTTTAGACTGGGTTAAATTAGATCTGTGTTATTCCTTTAATGTAGTACTCTGTTTTAATGTGCCTTGAAAGGTTATATTAAACAATTTATATATATTTAATTATATCTTAATGTGTGTAATAATAATGAGCAGTGAAGTCTTATTATTAAGTGTGTATTCATTTGATATGTAGTTCTGACTTCTTGCCAGTTTGAATAATTATCAGTTAAAACAGAATAGTGACACATGATGTTTATGTTTGTTATAATGGGAGAGTAAGTCATAGTATTATTATTCATTTTATCTAAAATGGGGCTTTTCCAGAATTACAGAATATTGTTTCCCAATCTCACATCTACTATATTTTCTTTTTTACCCTCATTTCATTATTTTTATATAATAAATAAATAAAAGGAGGCATGTGAAAATAACTTTGTGTCTTTGTGTGTCTCCCCCCCCCCTCCAAAAAAAAATGAAATCTCTTTGACGGTAATTGGTATGATAAACATGTTCCTGTGACACCAGATATGTAGGGGTGCTGATAAATCTTTGGCTTTTTTATTTCACCTACTTTTATTGTAATAATACTTTTATCACATCCAAGTTTATTGTTTTGTATATGTGTGACCTAAATTTCATAATTGTAGCCTCACTGTTAAATGGTTGTTGCTGATTTGAAGTGAAAATGGCGAAAAGAATTGAGATTTCCCTGCAGAAGAATGGTGAGCAGTGGTGAAATATGTTTTCTTGAAAGGGAACTTGAACAAAGAAAATTATGGTTATATGTCCGTTACACTAGGTGATAATACCCCTTCACACTCCACAGTGAAGAAATGGGTTGCTAGGTTTAGAACAGGACATTTGAGCACTGAAAACCAAGAACATTCTGGGACACCAACTCAAGTGACAATTCCAGTAAACGTGGATGCCATTCATTACAAGATATTGGATGACCAAAGAATACCCAATAAAGAGATAGCAGAGGCCCTGGAAATATCGTGAGAAAAGTAAGCTATATAATTCACGAGATTTTAGATGTGAGAATGCTCTCAGCCAAATGGATTCCTAAATGTCTCAGTGCTGTTCAGAAGCGTGATTGAGTGCTTGCTTCACAAACCATTTTGGACAATAACGGCTGGATCCTGTGGAATTTTGTAACCGTCTCAGAACTCTGGATGAAACTTGGATCCATATATTTGATCCAGAAACCAAGGACCAATCCAAAGAATGGAGACATCGTGGTTCCCTGTGTCCAAAGAAGTTTAAGACACAGAAGCCATCAAGCAAGGTGTTGGCATCTGTCCTTTGGGACAAAAATGGAATTTTGCTTGCAGACTACATTGAAAAGGGAGCAACCATCACGACAAAGTACTATGTTGCACTTTTCAACAAATTCAAGCAGCAACTGGTCTCCAAATATTGAGGCAAACTTTCAAAAGAAATCTTGTTTCTTCAAGATAATGCTGCCATCACAAAGTGGCCATAATGCACAAGAAATTGGTGGATCTTCACTTTGAAGTTCTGAAACACTTGGCCTACTCAGCTGATTTGGCCCCTTTGGCCTTCTGCCTCTTTCCTAATGTCAAGAAAGGGCCGCGCCATAGCTCAAGTGGTTAGTTGCTGGCTTCCCATTACAGCGGCCCGGGTTCAATCCCGGGTCTGGTTAATTTTTAATTCCTTCAGTCTAGTATTCCTGTTAAGAGTACACAGCTTCTGCGGTCTTGTTGAGATCTGGTGTAACCTAGTAAATTCATTAATGTATGTTTGTAAAAAGGGAAATTTCTAGTGATGAATTTTATGTACAGAAAAACATGTCCTTCCTAAATATTTAATAACTATTCCAATATTTTAGTGTATGTTCAGTTGGAAATATTGTGTGACCTCTGGTGTCTTGTGTTTTGCAATGTCGGATATGATTATGCCACTCTGATACAGATACAAAACTTACATCTGGAATGGAAGTGACAAATTCCATTGTTATTGAACGATAGTGCTGCCAAAGTTTCCAATTGGTTAGAAAAACAATTTGATTTAATAGTTTTTATCTAATTAATAGCATATTTACAATCTACTCTTGATAATATGTAGTAATAAGTAAATTTGTTCTAAGTAGATTTCTTGAGTAGAGAACGTCATCCGCTGATGATACTCTGATAGGCCCTGTAAAGGAAAGGTGGTGGTTTTAAATTTCATCATCAGCAGGTTGTGGTAGGTCAGACGGCCACTGTCTCCTCATTCTTCTTATTACATTTAGTGTGTTGCTAATTTCTACAATTAGTCTGTTGTTGTGTCCGAGTATGTTTCAAAGGTAGAGTGTTGACAATCTATATATGTCTTCTATGACAAATTGGATTTGCACATCACTGTGGATAGTAAAGTTGGAGACATACCAAGGTGCTTTAGTTACTGAGCACAAGAATTTGGATTGAAGTCTTTGAATTATTTTTGTTTTTGGTTTTGTACATCCCCATAGCTGTATAGCATATGTCCATATGGGTTTTATTATGCACTTGTATAGTAGAAGTTTGTTTTCTATGGATAGCTTGGATTTATGGCCCAAAAGCCAGGACATTTGTCATAGTTTTAAATTTAAGTTCTGACACTTTGTTTTCACATGTTACTGCCATGTAATTTTTTTAGGCGTGGTGTAATTGCAAGTATTTTACTTCGGTTTGGACCGGCATTCGCATATTATTGATGGTAACCTGTGGGAAAGTTATGCTTTTCATTTTTTTTTTGGTTGATTTTGTCAGGTTTGTTTTGATTTTCCATTTGCTGTCAATGCTGGAGGAAGTTTAAGTGATGTTGAAGATGTTGCGATGCTACTACTGGATCATTTTTTGCTGCTAGCAAGGCTGTGTCATCTGTGAAGGTTGTGATTATAGTGTTGTTTGTTGTGGGCAAGTCTACAATATACTAGATTATGTATAGTAGAGGCCCCATCACGCTTCCTTGTGGTATGCCTGATTTCGCCTGGTAGCAATCTGAATATGAATTATATTTTATTTGAAAGTGTCTTTCAGTGATGTATGACTTTAAAAGTAGGTAGTATGGCCTGAGGAATGTATTTTTGACTTTATGTAATAGTCCAGTGTGCCAGACCTTGTCAGATGCCTGAGCTACGTCAAGGAAAACTGCTGTACACAATGTCTTTTCTTCGAGGCTTGTTGCAATCATGTTTACAATTCAGTGCATTTGTTGTATTGTGGAGTGTCCTTCCCTGAATACAAATTCGTAATCGGGAGTAACAGTTGACAGGTCTAGGTTGTTTCTAATCCTCTTCAATAGCAACTTTTCAAAAAGCTTCGATGTGACCAGCAGCGAGCTAATCAGCTGACAAGAATTTACTTTATTGGCTGGTTTCCCAGGTTTAGGTATCAGTATAATCTGAGCTAATTTCCACATTATCGGGTAGTACGACATTCTGAGCATGCTGTTAAAGAGGGTTATTAGCAATACTATTGCTTTTCTTGGTAATTGAGTATTTTTCCTGTGATAAGGTCATAACTGGGTGCTTTGTGCAGATTTATGTTCTTACTTTCTTGAACTGGTTCTCTAGGTAAGAAGGGTTTGATAGGTAATGACATTTGACATGGTATTTCCAGGAAGGTTTCAATTTCACTGTCATAATTTATGTTAAACATGGTGTAAATACCTGTTCAAGGTGTTCCGCGGATGTTGTGACTTTTTCACTATAACTTTTTGCCCAGCTTCTGTCTGATTTTCGTGTCAGCGGTATCGATATTCGGGGTGTTTTGAACTTCTTTGTTGCCTTCCAGATTCTGTGGTCATCTTTAGAGAGAGGCATGATATAGTGTTCGAATGTTCTATTCCTCATGTTTATAGTTATGTAGTTTTCCCCTTAGTCTGTTATAAATAAACCTGTCATCATTGTTTCTTGATCTCTGCCATCTGCTTCGTGCTCTGTGTTTTTCAGCCACCAGCTCACATATATAGAAAGGGATATTATCTGTTTTCTTTCTTCCGTCCTATGGGGTGGGTGTTGAATACCACGCTGCTTCCTGTATTAAAGTGGTATGAATGAATGTATGAGGGGTAGGCCTTCTTGGCCCTTGTACTGTGACCTACAGTGGTCTTTTATGCTTTCCCTTTTGATTATCCACTCAGCAATCCTGTGCTTCGAATGAAGCGCAGGATTTTGTATGTGGGGGCGTCGAAATAGTCACTTGGTTCCGTAAAGTATTGACCCAAGTGACATAATCTTAAATAAGCTAAGGCCTTGCATTCATACAGGATATGTGTGACTGTTTCATTTTCTTCTTGACACCCCTCACAAGTGGGACTATCACTTAGTCCCAGTTTGAAGAGGTGTCCTTTAAGGTGACAGTTTCCTGTAAGTAGTCCCGCCACTCATCGTAGCTGGTTCCTGTTTAATGTAAACAGTTCCTTCGCTCTTTTAGCTGAGGGTCCTCGTATGAGTCCCTTTGCTTGCCTGAGTCCAATCAAGGATGCCCAGTATTTCTTGTGTTTCATATTTGTCCAGTCCCTGATTGCCTGTCTGGCAACTCCTATAGGGATGTCACAGGCTGGTTCAGGTCCTATGAAAGGATGTTCAGCTCCAGTCTTGGCCAATTGGTCTGCTATTTTGTTTCCAGCAATAACCTCATGCCCTGGAACCCATATCAGTTTTACCCTGTTATGTATGGTGGCAATCCCAGACCAATTTTGAGTTGATCTGGTGTTTGTCAAGTGCTTTACGTGCAGCTTGGCTGTCAGTATGTAGATGTTCCTATTTCTATAGTTCCTATCTAGATTCTCCATAATACGTGCCTTAATAGCATATACTTCTGCCTAGAATACTGTTGTATACTGCCCAAGGCTGAAACTAAGTTTCTGCCTCGTGCCATAGCAGTACACACCAGCTCCAGTGCCCTTATTTATCTTGGAACCATCTGAGATCAGTCTATTGGGCCGAAA